TGGGGCCATTGCCTTCTTTCTGTCCCTATCCTTTTTCAGTTTTTACGGGTTTCTTAATTATGCTGCTAGTGAGTACAGGATTGACTCTCAAAGGAACGCGTTCTGTTTTCCTATGGCTAGATTTGGAAATGCCAGTTTGTGTTCCTTTCATGCTGGCAAAAATGCAAAGACAACATTGCCAACTGTGCTTTTCCTGACCAGGCAGTTGGTTTTGATCGATTCCTCGCCTTTTGCACGTATGGAGGGAGGAAGCTCTCTCAGTAGGCTTCCTTTCCTCCTGCTGTGGCTGAGCTCCCTAGCTAGCCAGTCCTTCTAGCTCAGACAGATGTATTTGCTTGTTACAGAACTTCCCAGGTCACCTACATTAAAGAGCAATGTGTGGATACTGTATTAAATCAAGCAACTGTCCTCTGCCTGTTTGATCAGGTTAGACGTGATACATAAACACGCCAGAAAATGGTTTCAACAGCAGAGTTCAGACTGTGTGACACCCACCTTGAGGCACTGGCAATTTTAGGAGGTTGCATTCCAGACATTAAGGCTCTTGTGGTGAAAATGATGGACACTGCACTGCAGAAAGAGCAAAAAGTTCAATAGAAAAGATCTGTCATGCTCCGATGACCACAGCTTTACCACATTCACTGGTCTTGTTCTTTTCCTCGGAAATTGTCATGACGTAGTACAGGGAAGGAGCTTAAGAGTCTGGGAAAAAAGTGTGTTTCTGTAAAGTATGGATAACGCTCTTAATTTTCACTTGCTGAATTTTCTCCTTGCTGGCTTCTTTTAGAGCATCCATAACTCAGATTTACTTGACAGCACTGCAGAAACAGACATGGTTGATATCTTGGGAATCAAAGACATGATGATTTTTTTTTTTTTAAAGGGCTGTCTAGCCTGTTTTATCATTCCCAGCCTAATGGAGGTTTGTTTGGTACAGCACATCCTCTGATGATAATAACTTTCATCATTTATAAGTAAAGTTTATTTTTTAGCGAACTAAAAATGTTCCTCCTAAGGAGATTTCCCCCATTTTCTTTTGGGCCAGTTTGTACAGCCTGAGATCTCAGTTTAGATTTCCAATGTGCTTTTTCTTCTTGCTTTCTTTTTTTTCCCCCTCCATCCAAAGAGGTTTCCTCTGCTGAAACCCTTCAACAACTGCTCAGATCATTTACAAGAAGCACTTTCACAGGCTGTTGCTCTACAAAAGTGAGGAAAAAATATCAAAGCGACCACCTATAATAATGAAGTTAAATGCAGATATAAGTGTTTGTGAACTGTAACTGACTGAAAGGGTGCCAAACATTTTGCAAATATACACAAAAAGACAGGCCCCTGCTCTAATCAGCTTATAAATTAAAAGGAAAGTACATTGGCAAGAGCAGAAGAGATGATATGACATGCTTTAAATAGTTTATAGGGAGCTGGAGGATTGTTGTTTATTTGGTGATGTTGGGAAAATATTTAATGTTAAACTCTTTATAGAAATTTCTCTCCTCCCCCAATTTTCTTTTCCAATGAAACCAGCAAGTTTAGAGTAGACGGAAAACTGAGAAACCGATTTCGAAATTGACAAAACCGCGAGTAAATCTTTAGAGATACTTTTAATGTGAGTCAGGCTTTCTAAAGTAATTATCGTAATATAAGAAAGGACCAGTGCTTCGCTGCCTCTGCGGACGGAGGGCCAGGGTCGCAGCTGGTGTAAATTGAGATACCTCCTATCCGGTATGCGTGGCTGGGGAAGAGGTGGCCGTGGCCCTCCTTTGCAAGTTCACGGGCCATCCCCGAGCTAAGCCGGGCGGGGGCAGCGGCTCCTGGGGCTCGCAGCGCTCGGGGCCCGGGGCTCCCCGCACCTCCACTGCTGCCCCAGTGCTCGCAGACGACCAAAGGTTTTTTAGCGTTTAAAGGGTTTCTATAGCAAACCTACAATTTATTAAAAAAAACAAACAAATTGTATTGACAAGCAAAAAGCCTAAACCACTTTATTTTTAGATTTAACTTGCCGTTGCTCGATCCAGATGCAAAGTGAGGTGCAATTGCTTTTCCGAGGGCACAGGATCGGGACAGGCTCCCAGTGTTGGTTTGGACAGCAGGGACAGGTAAGCGAATATTTTCTTTAGCGTCGTCTTCCCAGAATCCAGAAGGTGACCCCGGCAGCCGAGAGGGTTTTTTGCCTCTATCCCTGCTGGTTTATGTTGTTGGTGATATCTCCACAGATAAGTGACTTCGTTGCATCCGGAGTTTGCGTTTAAAACAGAGATTAATTGTGGGGAATGTTTCAGAATAAACACATTTCTCTTCCAAAGTAGTTTGTTTGTAAGGAAAAAAAAATATGAAGGAGGTTAAACTGGATAACTTGTTTGTTTGTTTTTTTTCCTGTCTTTTACTACAGAACGCACTGGAGTTTTGTTTAAAAATAGGGCCATTCTCGGCGGGAGGCATGATACAAAATTTCGGCCTGCAACCACAACAAATACCCCTGAAGCTTTGCTCACATCTTCTAAACATATAGAAAATATATTAAAAAATAACGAGGTGGTTCAAAAAGTTACGTCCCTCTTTAGGAGATGACCGAAAAAAATGAGCAGCTTCTGAAGCGGAGGCTTTACGTCCTGAGTCGTTTTTAAGTGCTATTGCAAACCCCAGCTGAAGCGTTTGCAGCCGAACACAAATTTTCAGGCTTAAATTGCCTTCTTCCTGTCCCGGGATGCCAGGGCTTTCCACAGCTAAAATCGCACAGCTCTTTTCCCGGAATCCTCTTACTTCTTCCAGCGCTCAGAGCTCCGCTGCCCCGGGCACCCTTTTGTTGCTCTGGGTCAGCCTGCGCTGCACTCGCAGCCTCTTCCCAGGCGCGGCTTAACCCCTGCTCCAGCCTCTACCTTAGCGGGATGGTTTCACGACAAATCCTAGTTTGTGCATTCCCTGCTCACCCCTAGCAGAGCCAGAGGCATGTTTCATCCTCCCCCACGCATTACTACTCAGTGCATAGTGGCTCCGTGCTCCTGCAGCCCCTGCCTGAGTGACCCGGGACTGCTCCCCTTGTCTTGAAGTGTTTCGTGGGACAGAGAGACAAAAGGAGTGGAGATTTCCACGGGAGACAGCGCTGCCCGCGTACTTCCCAGGGACCCAGGCCCGAGTGCCTCCCCTTTGTGCGGAGCTCCGCCGAGCGCCGGGACATGCAGCAGTTGGAGACACCGGTCCGCTCCTTCCGCCTCCCGGGCCCTGGCTGGGGTGACGGGGGCATGCAGGTGGCTCCACGCGGACACCAGGAGAACCTGGAGGGGGTTCCCAGGGCGGGGCAGCGGGCTGCCCGTTGCCCTGGGAATGAATACCCCTGGTCCGGGCTGCCCGGGGCTGTCG